GATACAAAACACTTAATGCACTTAGAATTATAATTTTTTTGTCTCAAAATACAATAGAATTTGAATATCAGCCAGAAATTTTATCGGAATGCATTTCTAATTGAATTGATATTATTTTGTTCTAGACACTTATGATGACAAGATTTACTCTCAATAACAGGTTCTTGTCCTCAGTGCTGATTTTACTGTTGTATTTTTTTTTTTGCTCTGCTCTCACTTCCTCTTGGTAAACAGATAAACTGAGGGGCTGCCACCAGAGTGCCTGTGTATTAAGGAAGTCTTCGCTTCCCTTCACTCTCAGCTGATGTCAGCTTTGTTATTGCTCAAAGTAAATGATGTGAAGATTATTCTCTGCATGCTGATGTCAGTAATGAGTTCAGTGGGCTTTGCTCTAAGCTGCTGATCATCAGTTGTTCTTTTCCTTAGACTGTATTTGCATGATGTCAGTGAGTGAAAGGCTTTGCTCCCAGTGGTTCATTAGCCTTGTACTGCAGACAGATGGGTGCAGACAGACTCTTTCCAAAGGCCACCATCTGACGCCTGTGCGGGGGCACTCGGCCCCCTGGGTAGACTGAGAAAGCTCTTTGCTGTGTAGCCTGATGCCAAAATGTGCTGTGGACAGCTAATATGTTTGATTAGGTTCAGCATAATTAGTTCAAAAGGAATCGTCAAAATGGTGTCTGTACTGATGAATAGGGAAGATTTGCAGTTGTTGGCGATCACACTGTGGTATTTATTTGGGAAAGCACAAATGCTTCTTGTTGAGTGAATGTAGACCACTCATCCACTGTTTGATAAATGTTTTATTCATCCCCAAGTATGTAAGGCCTTTAAAAATCATAAGTGGAAAATGATACTTGGTTATTCTTCCAGATACAGCTGTGTTTGCAGTAACAGTAAGCCTCATTTTCTTCAGTATTCCCAGAGAGAATGGTTCTTTAAATTAGATACAGATTGCATCTGGTAAATAGTTATGTTCTTGACAAATTATGGCATGAATAGCCAAGAGGATGTTTGGGGGCCTGATGCTTGAGATGCGTTTCAGATTTGTTTTGATTGAAGTTGATGATAGACAAAGAGAAAGACAAAGAGAGAGAAAGGAAAGGAACATAATATGTGGAGTAATAAAACACAAAAAGCAAACTTGTTTTGAACAATTTTGATAATGATCAGATGGCTTGCTTTTGCTCAGAACAGAAACGAAAACAAAACAAACGAGACAGTGCTGATTCACACGCACTATTTGTAGAATTACAGTCAAATAGAAAGACAAAACTTTCGATTTGATTTGTTTATCTAATTCTCTCTTATACACTAACGTTTAAAAGTTTGGCCTCAGTAAGATATTTTTAAAGGAAAAAAATATTCTTTTATTTAGCAAGGATATGTTAAATTGTTCGAAAGTGACAGTATAGTCATGTAGAATGTTACCATAGGCTCGAAGTAGATTGGTCTCTCTAAGCGAGATCCCAATTCATCCGACGTGACGTCTCCGTTCCCTCCTTCAGGGAACGAGGGTTACCATACGTAACCGAGACGTTCTTATTTTAACTTTTTAACTTAAATGTATGTGCGTGTAATCACAGTTTCCACAAAAATATTAAGCAACACAACATTGTTTTCAAGTTTTCAACACTGATAATAAGAAATGTTTCTTGAGCAGCAAATCAGCACAATGGAATGATTTCTGAAGGATCATGTGACACTGAAGACTGGAGTAATGGCTGCTGAATATTTAGCTTTGACATCACAGGAATAAATGCCATTTTGAAATATAGTGAAATACAAAACAGTTATTTAAATTGTAATAATAGCCTATTTCACAATATCACTGTTTTTACTGTATTTTTGATCAAATAAATGCAGCCTTTGTGTCTTCTTTCAGAAAGATTTAAAAAATCTTACCAACTGGTAGAATGTTACAGTGAATAACAGTATATGGGAATTTATTTTTATTTTATGAATAATTATGAATGTGGAAATTGCAGGCATGATTACACTAAATCTTAAACTTATATCACTCAATGTTCAGAGCAGCTGAACTATATTAAAAAAACATTTAAATAAATAATTTATTAGAACAAAACATATTTGGCCCTTTCAAATTACTTTTATAATTGTAAGAAATAAAGCACATTATATACTGAATCCTTGAGATCAGGGATCAAAAAAATATATATAAAAAAATACAAATATTCTGGCTTGAATGCAATGCACTTTTTACAATATATCGACGTGACTGCAGGAATAACTTAATTTTTACTGAACTGGGTTTTGTTCAGTTCGGTTTGAGACCTGCCATGAATCACTGTTAAAGGTTAAAATAGCTTTTCGGCCATACACAACCTCCATACTGTTAAAAAAACCGTTGCTTTTCTTGCTCACACCTTTCTGACCTTTAGCACTTCTGTCGTCTACAGAGGGAGGGACAAGCTCAGGGCAATAAACCTCTCAGCCGATTCCCCAAGCAAAGCCCAAGGCTGGCCCAGTCCACACGCTTCCTGCCACATTCCAATACTGACCTGTCAATCACCCTGCCAAGGCCCTGAATCTCTCTGACAGTTTTTCGTGGCGCTGCTTTTCCACTGGGCTTTGCTGTCAGAGACCCAGTGTGTGAGGCAGTAGAGAAAGATAAAGGAGGCACACAGACAGAAGTCATCCCCCTTCACTCACACTCTACTGATTTGTTACTGCAAACTCAGGCATCCTACTAACATGAATAAAAGATAAGAGAGACTTTAAGGATACACCTCACCCTAGCTTTTATACCTCAACCAGATAGACCAGAGGAAGGCATCATTTTGTGTGTTTGTGTGTGTGTGTGTGTGTGTGTGCTCTCTATTCGACATGTGTTTTATACCTTAATGTGCAAAAAAAGCATTTACCGTCCATTACACAAACACAGTAAGTCCTGGGATTGAAACCAGTTTTATAGAGATACAGTGGGTTTCATTGTAAAAATACTTCAAGGCTTCAAGGCAAGTAGAATCACATGGCAGAAAGAATCTTGTGGTGGAGCTGCAGTAGATTTCATCATATGTATTGTGTTGATTGAAGCTATTACTGGCAGCCTAATCAGCAAGGTAGCTGTTTTTTTTTAAGCTTTGCTCTTGCTAAAATGCCACAACACAGAGAAATACATACAGAAACCCTACAACATAAAATGTAATGATCAAGATGTTACTATGTGCATTTTCAGACCTATTGCAGCTGTGTATTGTACCTGTTTGGATTAAAATACACTATAATGCAACTGATGAATGTTGAAGAAAGCTACTGAAGAAAGCTATGTGTTGCTTGTTGATACTCACCCCGCTTGCTTATTGCATGTGTGATTTTTATTATTTTATGAGAAAAAAAACTCATAAAGAAAAATTAACAAAATAAATGTACTGCATGTTCATCAATACTATAGCAACTGCTTGCAGTGCAGTCAGTCCTAAAGATCCCCCCCAAAAAAGAAATGGAGTAGTTATTAGCAGAAGCTAGGAAGATGTTGGCCATCAAGTGTTTACAGTTTGATGGATCTGTCAAATGAGGTTAGCATATGCTGTTTCTAACACCAAACACATCATGCTTCTGTGTAAGTCTGAAGAACTCGACACTTGCAGTGATGTCTCATTTTCTCAGCAAATTCAGTCTCTTCCAGACTGAAAAGTTTTTGCAAATGCAATGTTCGCTACGGATTAGTGGTCGACTGATATATCGCCAAGGCCGATATATCGGCCGATATTTGGCATTTTTCAAATATCGGCATCGGCCGATACGTTTTTCTGCCTGGCCGATGTGTTCGAGGCGCGATTTATTATTTTATCTATAAATTAATAAATTTTATTTATTATTTTGACGGCGCGCCAGGCTTTTATTTTGACGGCGCTGAGAATGGCAGCGCCAGGGCACACAGTGCTCACATTCTCCTCTTCATTGTTTGTTGTCGTCGTTTAACAGTTCTGCCTAATACAGATAGAAGTCTGTCTACTAATCAGATAGAACCGTTGAACAAATGAATTAAAAGGTATACAAAAAGTATTATAACGATTGCTTTTATATTATTAGTAACAGAAAGGCAAACATTATAATACTTTTGCCGTCAGCATTCAGCAAATACGCATATCATTTAAACAAACATTTAAATGACTAATGAACATTTAATTTCACAAACCTTGCAGACTTAGTCGAATCCAGCTGTGAGATCTTGTGAAGTGTGCATTTGTATATTGCCTGATCGTGTGTTCTCTGCGTGACAGTCGATCCGTGCGAATTGAATCCAGACAGGAGGAGAGTTCAGCTTCACTGGAGACGCGCGATCAACTTTAAACTCGTTATTTCACACTATGCTGATTTATGCATTTGTGCACTGTCATATTCATGTCATTTTTACTGCGTGCTGCATGTAAAATGAGTGTTACCTTGGCTTTAGTTGAAAAAATATGATTCCCAAAGCACACAAACTTCCCAGATTACAGAGTGCCCTGTTGGTTACAGTGTTTACTTTCTTTTTGTTTATATATTTTAAAATATTTCTTTATTTGTGAAAAATACTGTAATAGAATTATAGAATCAGGAAGTTGTCATCTAAAGTATAAGTATGTTGATTTTACACATTTATTTTTAATAGAATTCATTTTCAAATTATTTCAAGTTTCTCAAACATTAATTTAAATAAATAAAACTTATAACTAAAATAAAAAATAAACTTGTATATATCAGCTTTATATCGGCCATCAGCCACCCTGCTCTCTAAGATATCGGCATCGGCATCGGCTGTCAAAAAAACAATATCGGTCGACCACTACTACGGATATGAGATCCTACAAGAGAAAGGTGGATTGAGTGTTCTTAATGTGTTTGATTTGCTCCATCTCACACACATTTTCAATGTGATTTTTGGACACCACTTTATTTTTTTAATATAATTGTAAAGAAAAATTGTGTATTATGTATGTGTATATATAATTATTTTCATTTAATGTTTAATGACACTTTTTTTCTCTTCATAGGTCATCCTCATTCTCACTAAATATTACCATGCAGACTCCAACAAAGTTCTTGAGAGTTCCCTTTGGAGGTAAGTGACAGAAGATTTTTTTCTTTTCAGGTCAAATGTAGGTTTAAACACTTAAAACCTACAGATTTAGAGACAAAAGCGACTTCAGTCGCAATAAGGACAATTTTTTTAATGGTGGGTTGGGGAAAAAAATCTCTTGTGGCGCTTTTCAGATGACAACTGTCAATTTGCAATTCAAATGATTTTCCCTTGGGATTCCCCTTGAGAATTTTTTCAAGCTTTTCTATTGATTTATTTTATGCCAATTTTAGATTTCTCATGGAAAATATTAAATGCTATAGCTTCAGTCAGATCAAGTCAAGTTTGTCCATGTGTGTGAATTTTGCGGGGGAACAAAATGTTGCTCCTCTTACAGGTTGTGCTGCTAAATGCAAAACAATTGAACAATTGTATTCAACATGACAAAACCACATTATGCACAGTACAGACAGCAAATGGCTGGACATATACGTAACAATATGCACAGTTTGCATTATTTTTAACCCTTAACCTCTCTATGCCCCTGTCATTATCTGTCTTTAAACATATCCAATTACAAACATTGTACACACATTGAAAATAAGCAGTAAGCTAGATAATGCTAGTACATTACTCCTGTTTTGAAAGAGCAAATTGTTTATTAACATGACTGCTTTAATCAGGTGTTACTGTTTTAAATGGTTACATATTGGATTAAATAGTTATAGATATTGAAATATAGAATGGATAATTCAATTGAAACAAGATGCATATTGAATTAACCGAGTGAGCGAGAAAGACATAGGAAAAGATAGAGTGCAGCATAAGGGGACATTCACATAGAATGCATTTTTGCTTTGAAAAACACGAGATGCAGGCAGTAGAATGGGGAAAAAACTCAAGGTCTGGAGACACGTTTTTTCAAAAGTTGAACTTAATTTAACTTGAGCGTTGTGTTGAGAATGCTGCGGCATGCATGAGACACTGCAAAAGAGGCCAATGCAACATCCAAACATGTCCATCTAGTGTGTGCTTACATAGAAAAACAATGGAAAACTAGCGCAATGGAATGGAAAAATGTGCTCTGTGTGAACAGCTCCTGAAGCTCTGAAGAGAGAAAGAGAGATGCCACTGAAGACCTGATGGCCTTTAACACCGTTTTCCAAGAAGTCAGAGCTCAGGCAGAGAGGAAGAGCATAAGGCAAGAGGAGAATTCAAGAGCAGATGCCAGTGAAAAGAGAGTGAATGTAGATGACTGAGGTCTACCTTTATTCGGTTCAAAACATTCAAACTGACCATCAGCTGACCCTCATTATAAAACATTTCACCCAACAGGCTTAGACTGTCTGTGGGCTAGGGAAAAGATCTCTTATGGAAAGAAAACAGGGTTATAAGACGTTTTCTTTGTTCAAACCATGCAATTTTGCCATCTAAGAAGCAGAAGTTCAGGTAGAGCATAGCGAGTACATCATTTAGAAATTACCATTGTTTATGCCTGGATCTCTCTCTTGTGTTGGTTTCTGCCATCCTCTTGGGTGTGATAAGCGAGCCCAGTGCCTCTGCAGTGAACTTAGAGATGACTTAATTAGGACTGCTGAGGGCTTTCCTGGACCATGTGCTAATTGCCTCACACTATCCACTATTAGCAACTAACCCTGACCGTTTAATGACTGCCAGTTAGGTCTTTGTTTGTTTTGCTTTGTTTGGGGCTTTGTAAACCTTTCTGGGTTAGACAGAGTTAGGCTTAATGACCAGTCTATCGTGAGAGAAACGTATTATTTATTGTGGGGTTTAAAGATTGAGGCCACTGAAGTGTGAAAAGAAGATGGAGCTAAAAATATAGTGCCGCATATGGAATAATTGATGCCATATTTGTTCCAATGCCCTCATTAGCCTGTCTGTCTGAGGTTGATACGAGGGTGGCATTAATTTTACATTGGGGCTCAGAATATATCAGTTGCACAGCTGCCTAATGACCAGGTGGAATGCTAAACACTGTCTTTTTCCCAGCTAGAGCTTCAGCATTTAACGGACCCCATGTTACATGCAGGCAAACATTGTAGAAATGTGCACTAGAGGAGCTGAAAAGAGAATATGTTTTGAAAGAAAGGGCACAAGACTGTACTTGACATGTGTTTGGGCAGGTAGGGAACCTTTGTGGCCATCTGGATATTTCTTTATGGCAGGAAGGCAAAATTATAGTGCAATGCTTCCTTCTTCATTCAGTTCATGACAGTACTTCAAACAGCTTCATGCTCTTTTTCGTTTAGTTATTTGAGTCGTAAGGATATCATATTACTTATCCCACCTATCGAGGGCTGTATTTGACGCACTTGAGTTGCCTTACGTTAGCACATGGTGCTTGTCCGGAACAGTTGGTGAGAACGGCTGCTCCGCTCTCATGCCTCTCATGCAGGAAAATGTTTCACTAACACAGATGGCTTTCCTAAAAAATAATCAATGTTCTAGAATAAATGAATCGAATTAGTAAAATTTTCTCTTACTTTATTCATGATATTCATAGAGCCGCTGAATCCCAGACTTCAAAGACCGGTCCGTCATTAACCAGACATCCAGTCTTTCTCTACAAGTCATTCAATGAATTATGTAGAGTCTTCCGTGTTGATGTTTTAATTGTTGTTGTTCAACTCATAAATTATGCACTGACATTATGATGGAGCGGTCTGAATTCAAAGACACAGGGAGCAGATAAATCTAATTAAACTGGAGATTTAAGTTCAGCTCAGGCCTTGAGGCTTTTCATTGGTCGGGTTAATGTTGAACATTATCTGCATCATGGCAGAAAAGTGTGTGATATTCTTTTGGTAGTTTGGTAAGGAAGTAGCTTAAAGGTGCAGTGTGTAAATTTTAGTGGCATCTAGCGGTGAGGTTGCGAATTGCAACCAACGGCTCAGTCCCCCGCTCACCCCTCCCTTTAGAGAAGCTACGGTGGCCTACACAGGTAAAGATGTTGTCGGTAAAGACAGCAGAGAGCAATGAGATTTCTTTACAAAGGTAAATTAAGGAATTATATTTACTTAGTCATGTACTTGTTCATCATTGTGTCAGTGTTTTATTGGCAAGAACAACAAAGTGACGAAACGCGCTCTGTAGAGCAGTTTGTCCGTTTAGGGCTACTGTAGAAACATGGTGGCGACTTCCATGTAAGGGGACCCGCGGTGTATGTAGATAGAAATTGCTCAATCTAAGGTAATAAAAACATAACGGTTAATTAAGTAAGGTCTTTATACACATCTGAAAATATAGTTATGTATATTATATTGCATTTCTGTCAATAGATCGTTGTAAATATTACACATTGCACCTTTAAGGTACAGGGTTTGTTTATTTGAATAAATGAGAACACAGATTATGTCATTGTTTGACCATTATTGTACTGTTATTTGGACAGTAAATGAAAGAATGCTGTAACAAAGTTTCTGGCAGGGCTGTTGATGGAGGATAATCAAATCAAATTTTAATAACATCTATCACTTCGCTGAGAAAAACCACCAAATAAAGATTATTATGGCAGATGATTAAATCTTTGAATAGATGGTCACCTTACAAAAATTTGATTAGTTTTCAATATGTTTTATTTTCATAACATTAATCATAAAGGGATAGAGTAGCCAATAATGAAACTTTGTTTCAAAAAGATCTTATTTATTTATTTGTGTGTTTGTTTGCTTGTTTTAAATAACACAAGGGTGAGTAAATTATGTCCGAATTTTCATTTTTGGCAGAACTGTACCTTTAAAAGATCCTTCCTTCCCGTCCTTGTCATTCTCGTATTCTCTCTGAGGTATTTTTTTAATGATCAGTCTGCATGTACTTGCAAAAACACAAAGGTGGTACTTCAAGCTTGAATTTCTCTGGTGGTAGAAAAATTCCCTTTTGCAGAATTTATGTGTTGGGGACATGATTAATGGTTTAGTTTTTTTTATCACATTATTATTTTTGAATAATTAATCACACCACATTCAGTCGACAGCATTGGTTTCTGGACATATTCATGATACATGATTGTCCCTTGAATGTTCATGGCCATGAGAAGGTCTGGGGTTCTTACATAATGTAAGTATACTGAAGTATGAAATATAGTATACTAGTATACTGAATCTGGGCGATCAGGGTACATAAAAATAAATATATCAAAGCTGATTCTAAGACACCTAGAGAGACACCTTAATAATTCATGATAGCACTTGCAGTTAGCACTAGCCCTGACAGACTTTACACACCTGAAAATATACGTATACTCCATTAAATTTCACATATGTATTGTGCTGTACTCTGTACCGCTATTATCAGCAGGACATAAGGGCAGGTTGGGGTGGAGGACGGATTCTTGAGGAATTGACAGAAAGAGTGAGGCAAGCAACTGTTCACATTTCATAGTGACACTTTATTTTGCTGATACCGTCTTACCTTAGCATTTTATTTTTGCTACCAATCCTCTATAGCATCTTTAATGTGAGCTTTTATTTTTAACTCACTCTGTTTGTTACTGCTATTGCTCTTTATTTGTTGTTATTGACCTTTATGTCAGTAGCGAGAGGGCGAGAACACAGCAAGTCCCAGTGATCAATGAATATGTGATTATGTGTGTGTGTGTGTTTCCTCTGAGGTCTTGGTTTAATTCCCTATAGAGCAAAAGAGATATGTATGACAGCGGTGAACTTCTCCTGAGGTTCTTTACTTAGACTGAAAATGCATGTTTCAGTGTCAGTGATCTTAGATTTAACTCTGTTTACATGTAATATTTTTTTCGTATCCACCACAGTCATTCTGCATATGTTATTAATTTATATCTAAATTATCCCAGTCTGAAGTGGGAAAACGACTCTCTTTTGAACTTGACTTAAGTACAGAGTCAGCTGCTAAACAAGCGTTTCTCAACCAGCAGCCCACGGCTGGCGAGCTCTGACTTGTGTTCTCTAATTTTAACCATTTAGCAATGATGGTGTTTCATCTCTTCCTGCGCTTTCACCAGTGCACATGTACGAGCTGATGATAGTGAAAGTTTTTCATACTTTTGC